ATACGGGACTTGTAAACAGACAGAAGGGGCGGGGCGGCGCCATTTTCCCTCCCCTCGGGGCTTTCACCCGCGGTCTGGCGGAGGTAACCCCGCTGGGGGGGTGCTGGCTCACCCGCTGCCGGCGGCTTGGTGCACGTGAAAGAAAGTCCCGCTGCTGAACCCCCTCTCCGAGATCGCTCTTGGCTTGTGCAGCCCAAGGGCAGGTTCTCCCAGGCTGGGCCTAAAGACAGGGCACCTGCATCCAGTAGCGTGTCTGCACATACAGAAATACCTTTATGTAAGTGTAGGGTCTGTGCCTTTTCGTTATTAGAGGGTGTTGATGTGCCTGAAATGAGGTACTAAAGGAGAGTAGAAACGTAAAGCTATATAAACATGGCTGTAGTTTATTATTCATGTTTGATTATTCATTTATTGCATATGCCAAGCTTTATTAAAAACTACTGGAAAGCTGTCAGAGCTTGCAAAAGCACTGATTTTAATATTGGTCATCAGTTTAGCGCTTTTACCTGGGAGATGACTTCTGTGAGCATGAGAACAGGCCTGAATGCTCCTCAGGGCTTGGACTGGGCCAAATGAGCCCACACACTGTAAGTGTCCTAGTGCTGTAAGAAATGCAGCACTTTCTAGTCTACTAGATCTCACTGGGTTATTTTATCCTTTCAGTAAAGCTGTGATACTACAGCAAAATTACATCCAGAAACAAGTTTTATCTGTTATGAGCACTGAGAGCATTTAAACCTGTAGAAATGAAGATAAATCTTCATCCTGTCAGCAGACAGTCAGTCTTAACCACGGTGTCAGGGAACTAGGGCTGTGATGAACTCACACAAAATTGAAATTCTCAGTGAAAATGCTGCACAGAAAGCATCTCCCTCAGCTGTGTGTCTTCTGATGAGCAACTGTTCATGAGGTCATGAAGTTCACAATTGCACTACTTTAGGTCTTTGAGCACTTCTTGAAGTAGGAACCACCAAAATCACTTGAAAATGCCCCATGAGACCAGCTGACTAGCCAAGAGCAGACATTTTTCTACCTCCTGATTCTGCCACAGGTGTTTCAGCAGTTACTCCTGTTACATCTGGTGCTTATAGGTGTGCCCAGCAGGAGGAATAAATAGAGCTGCTCTTAATTACATTTGGAGATTCTCAAAAGGGAGCCTCAGGAGTGTTTGGAGTGCTTCTCTAATGCTGCCCTGCCAAACTGCAGTTCATCAGCTGGTGGAGCTCTGCTTTGCACTCCCTAAAGGAACTGGAATCAAGTTAAAAGTCAAACCTAGTTTAGGAATAGCAGTGACTGCTGAGAAACGTGATGTCCAATTCTCCATTTCACTGAAATCAACGGTTACTCTGCTACCACGATCCGCACCTTAATTTTGTCATTCCAAGTTTCTGCTGGTTTGGGATGCAAGAAACACTTTGAAATAATTGTTCAAGATTCTCGCAGTTAAGCCTCAAGAGCAGCAGTTTCTACTGCTTTCTCTGTGGAACTGCCCGACATTGCTGGTGGCTCCGGGACTCTGTTGCTACCCCAGGCCTGGCTGACCAACGTGGGAAGTTGAATGTTCCCGTTCATGCCTTGCTGGCTTTTGTGTATCATTGCTTGTGGGTCGGTGAAGGTCATGTAGGGCTGCTCCAAAATCTATTGAAATCAATGGATTGTGCCTCTGCTTGAGACAAAAGGTGGAACTAGAATCTTAGGTTTTTGCACCGTTTATCTTCAGACAAGAGAGCACCGCTGATCTTACAAAAGGGTTTGGCAGATGGACTAGTGCGAGCAGAAGACCTCTCACACTTCGAGGCTTTGCTGGTGCTGAATTTAGGAATGATTTTCCATGGACCTTGATGAAGACATTCCAGTTTTCTCACCTGTTTGTGCTGGAAAGTGTTTGAGTTAAGTGGTAGGACTGTCTGACAGCTGCTTATGAAATTGAGCTGTTCTGACTCCAGGGAATTTAATAACTAGTTGTAAGGTCACTTTGACTTTACTAATGTTGTTAGTATGGAAGTTATGTAAATGAATGACTATATTAATCTAGTGAAAAAAGACACCCTAAAGGTGTTACAGGATATTTGACTATATGTGTCTTTAACTGAGTCAATTCATTAAACTAGAGGGCCTGAGTCATGAAAGGGCCTGAGTTATGGTTCTTCAGGGTGGTCCACCCATCATGTTTTCCTCTTAAACTCAGGAGAGGTGCCTATGGAGACATAACCAACTGCTAGCTGAATTTTGCTTTGTTTGAGTAGTCCTTTGATTCTAATCATTAAAAACGTTAATTTTGTCTCTTTCTTTCTGCTGAAGTAAGCTTGTACCTTTCCATCAGAGTTCCCATGTGAATGGTTAGCACTGAACTTTGCAAACACTAACGTGTTATTTGAGTTTTATCTAATCTGAAACTAATCTGAGGCTCAAGCAGGCAGAACTGGTCAATACCCACAGACAGTAATCCTATCCTGAGTGCGGGGTGGCATTCAAGCCTGACAGCCATAAGCATTTTTCCTCCCTGGTTTTTCTCATCCTGGCTGCACAGGTTCTGCAGCCACACACAGTGTCTCTTAGCATGCATGTGAAGTGGGCAAATAATCTTTTCTGTCAGAAAGATATAAAAATATACTCAGAATATATTCAATTTTAATTACTGCAAGACAGGAATGCTCCCCATCAAAACTGCCAGAGTTTTATGTATCCTCATTCCGTTAATTATTTACCTTCAGTTTTAATAATACAGTTAAGAGCACTATATATAGCTTATACTCTATCAATAAATCATGCTTGTACGTCTTCTTATTTATCTTATAAATTATAAGTACCAACACACTTGTGTGGATCTGCTAAACTATTCTAGCAAAGAAATTCCCACTAGAGCATTTCTAAGAGTCTTTGGAGGTGAACTCAAACATTCGTCACTTAAGGAGAGCAATTTTATGAGATTTGAAAAGGTAGTCAGTCTTCTCACAAGCCCCGACATTCTCCCTCATCCCCTTCTTCTGGCTTGCCACAAGCAAACAGTTTCACGTGACTTTCTGGAGGGTGGTTTTGGTCTTCCAAAGCAGAGAGGAGCATGAGAGCATACAGCCCAATTCTTTCTCACTGGATTATAACAGGGAAGAGATCAGAATGACAAAGACAATATGGCAGTGGCCTTGGTGGGATTAGAGAGGGTAAATCTCTAAATGCAAAAGTATTATCTGTGTTGCAGAGATGATAAATATTAGGATAAGTTGTCTAAGAAGCAGGTGACCCACAAGACAGATAATCTGGTGGTTTATTGCCAGAAGACAGAGGCTGAAGTAGAGAACAGAGTAGCTGGAGAGGAGCGTGGTGGGCAGCACGCAGGTCTGCTTGGGAATGGGGAACAGATGATAATAAGGGAATGGTCCAAAATACCAGTCCCTACTTGTGTTCCCTTGTAAAAAAAAGAGTTGAGTCGGGGGGGACAAAATGTTCAGTAGTAAATTGTCACCTGTGGTAGAGGTTCACCCCTTCAAGGGACTGAGCATTGAACTCAGAAGGAATGGCAATATATCACGCCTCAGAGGACTGGTTGCACTGCACATCAGCACCAACGTCTACAGGAATCCATCTGGAAGAGTGAGAGCCCTGAGCCCACAGAGCAGGGTCTGACACACAGTGGTGTCACACACAGCACATCGGGATTCTGTGGTAGTAAAAATCCTCCACACGTTCCTACAGAAATGTGCACACATGAGAGCCAAACTGGATTGTGACCAATCAAGGGTGGCTTTCTTGCTGGTAGGAGAACATGATAGATGAGCAGAGGTGGGGTGTGTGTCCAAATATCCTCAGAGATCCACCCACAGAGCCTTGAGTGGCTTTTTCTGCCACTCTGTTCTACTTTTGAGGTGGAACCTTGTGACTCTGTGGCAGTTACACCTCACTGAGCAAAGGCTGCTGGGCATCCCTGGGTCTAAGTGCAGCAGGGATATTTTAAATCAAACCTCTACTTGCTCACCAACAAAAAGCACACACCCATGCCCCATGTGAATTGATTTAACCATGTAAGTGAGGGGGAAGGGTTGTGTATTTTAAAAGCCCAAAACAGCAGAGTATTTACTCATCTCTAGCAATGCATCTGCCAAACATTATGCTGGTTTTTGACAGTTAGCATAGGATTTCCTCTTCATTGTTTGTTTTATCAATTGTTTCTATAGAAATGCCATTTTTATCAGGCTAAATGGAAATATCCTGAAATAACACACATCTTCAGCAAATAAAGATATTTCTTGCTCCATCTATATAACATATCACACTGAGTTTTCCTCTCCTCATTACAACATCAAAATAAAACACAGCTAAAAGCAAGCTGCCATACAGCTGAGACTCCAGGGAACAGACTGCTGTGGAAATTAGAAAGGGCAGCCAAGCAAATGTTTTTCTCAAGTCAGGTCACTCAAACACTGCCTCTGAAGAGAATTGCAGGTGAAAACTAGTGTTTGCACAGATGGTGGATGCACCGTCATTGACAGTCACTGCTTCACAGAAGGCTTAAATGAAAATGGTCTCTGAGCTGGCCCTGCCTGACAGTGCCCTCTGCCCTTGCTATCACTGAGGAAAGCAACATTTCTGAAATTCAGCTTCTTCAGGCTAAGGACAGTGTCTCTCATGGCTGCTGCTGTTG